TAATTTAAAGTAACTTACCCAACACTGGTTGTTACAGATATTACATGATACGTGGCAGCCCCCAAGAGTACCAAATACCTGAGGCCACACATCTAGGAGACATCTGTGCGCCTATCCCAGGAGGAGGAGGACCGAAATATTGTATATTGTTTTTTGTTTTCTCTCTTGTGAAGCACTTTGTGACATCTGTCAGTGAAATGTGCGATATATAAATAAACTTTTACCACGGCCAAAGGTGAGAGGACCAGAGTGGACGGACCAGCCACCCTGGTACGAGTCAAGAGTAACTCTAACCCAGCAAGTTTGGTGTGGAGATCTCTCTCCCAGCCTGCTCTGACTCTAACCCCAGAATTAGACCTGAGACTGTGAGCCAACTGTCTGGCCTCACAAACGCACTTCTAGAAGATTTTCCTTTTACAGATGAGCTGAAGCTGTTATCGCTGCAAAGTCACTGAAGTGCATACGTGTGAAAGGCGGACCAGACTTTCGGTTCGTCTTCTTACAGCCGGTAGGGGGCGCTAATGGCTCAACTCGGGGTTTGAGAACGGCATTTTGATAAAGCGTGGAAGAAAAGAAAAGACGACGAAGAAGAAAACGTATGAGGAAGTGAGGTAAACATACTCGGACGTTGGCAGTAGTATGGAGAGCCCGGAGCTGTCGTTTACTTTGGCTTACATCGTCCTCTCCGTCTGTTTCGTGTTCACGCCCAATGAGTTCCGCTCGGCCGGTCTCACCGTCCAGAACCTGTTCTCGTCGTGGCTGGGCAGCGAGGACGTGGGCTTCATCCAGTACCACGTCAGAAGGACCAGCATCACCGTTGTGGTCCACTCCGCGCTGCCTCTAGGTAAACACAGGTGGAAGAACACTCTGTTCCCCGCAATCCACGTCACGCACAGTGGGTGTTAGAACCGGTGTCACCATGGTAACATTTTGGAACCATGGGTAAGAAAAATAAGAGGCATTAAAAAAGGTTAGAACAGTTTAAATAAGTGAATAATTTTACTTTAAATCCACGCACAGGTCAGTAATGATGGAGGACACACCCGTGGGAGCGATAACACTTTGATTTTGAGCTTTTAAATCAGTGCTTGGCAGTAGACACGGATTTTATACACGAGAGCCCGAGCAGAGGACAGTCATGGTCTGACCTGGTCTTGGTTTGTTGCTCCGTGGGGGGGCCCTGTGCACCACAGCAGCAGCCACGGTGATGTTTGTGTGCCTGATGAACATGGAGCAGGGTTCGTGTTTGTCTGATGCTATATTGTGTCTTCTCTCTGCAGGTTACTACATGGGAATGTGTGTCGCTGCTCCAGAAAAAAACCTGGTTAACATTTACCAGGTGGGTTGGCTGGTTGACTGCAGCCTGCACGGGGCCACACCCTCTGCTGTGTACTTAAGGAAACACGTTAATGTTGATGTAGATCCTGGAGAACAGGGCGGTGCATTTGGAGAGCGAGCCGTACTATGAGTTTACACTGGCTTATATAAAACATCAAAAAAACAAAATGCATCAGTTAAGTAAAAACACACGACACTTTGGAGTCGGTCATTAACTTTTATCCTGTCAGGTTAGATGTAATGTTCACCACTGTTTTTAAGTAAAGTCAGAGAATGGATCGTTAGCATTCGCAGTTCATTCTTCTTTATCCATGTTAGCTCACTGATGCTGGTGAAAGTCTGACAGAGACGCAGGCTGACCAGCAGATGGCAGCGCAGCATCTCTCTGTTATTTATTTAAACCAAAACTCTTCCAAACAGAAGAAACGGCTCAAGCTGTTCTGTTGTCATCATCGTCCATCTCTTTTACTGCAACACGTGCCCACACTCTGCTACACCGCTTGGGTGAAAGTGATGTAACTGTGCATGACAAACGGTGCATTTTCCACTGATTGTGTGTTTGATTTTTGCCTTGTTGATCAGAGTAAGCTGTGATGGGCTGTGACATGCAGGACCCACACGTGCACACTGTTAAAGGACTGCTTCTGCCTACAGCCTTTTAGCCGACTCGTTCCTGGTGCAGCTTCCCCGTCTCTGGGTCCAGCTGCTGTAGCTGTATTTGAAGAAAACCTTATGAGGCATCATGTTTCCACGAGGGTTTCATGACTCTGTGGGGTAGAAAAGTTTGAATTCATGCAGGAAATGGCTTTGTTTGCAGAATAGCACATTTGATGAATTGAAAAAAGAAGTCAGTTTTCCATAATGTAATCTGTAGGAATAACCAGAACACAGGAGCCAATAAGCAAAAGTGTTGGAATCATTTTGTTGTCTTTTGTTTAGGTTTAGTGGTTCAAACTCTCTTGATCATGAATCTGAAGCAGTGATCTCTTGTGTTGTTGTTTCTCCAGGTTAGTGACAACTGGAGAGCATTTCTCCTTCTGTCTCTCTGCCTCCAGTTGGTCAGCTGGATAATTGTCTTCTACTGGTCCCGGCGTCGCTGGCACAATCATCCAATCAGTAAGGTGCTGCAGGCCCATGTGCAGCCCCCTTTCTCCAGCTGGGGCTCTGTGGCAGTCAGCATCAACACTGAGTTCAGACACATAGATAAGTTTGCCACAGGAGCACCGGGAGCTAGAGTCATCGTCACTGACACCTGGGTGTTAAAGGTGAGTGTTGATAAATATGCGTATAGCTTTTCTTTGGCGATGCCCTCATAGCAAGGCATAACTGCACAACTCTAGTTTCACGCACTGCAGAGAAACTCCGAGAAATCCTGATCCTGTGCTTTCCTACGAGTCTCAGTTGTCAGGACAACAGTCCACAGAAAGTCCTATCAGAAAAATGACCCTTATATCATAAACATCTTTTTTTTTTCAGCCTCTTCTCGCTATCGTCAGAGAGAAACGTGTAAATGACTGTTTCTGATAGACTGTTGATCATAAATGAAACAAAGCGTCTGTTTGTTTCTGCTTTTATAAAGTCTGTGGTTAAAGGGCTCACAGCTGATTTGATATCCGTCACAGTTAGGAACCGTTATCACAGACGGACTAGAAGGAACCTTGACCCCGTTCAGTTGAAAACTGATGATATTTATTATTGCCATT